CTAAGACCTCTCACTTCCAAGTGAAGAGAAATATCACCAGATCATAGTATTGAATGACTTAAAATACAAGTTAAAACCAATGGAAAGCTGATAGAATAAGGAGGGGAAGTGAAGACTGCATGGCAATGAGAGAGGTTGAGAGAAAGGCCTAGCCTAGAACGGAAAGAGTTCGGATTGAGAACACACTTGAATTTTAAGAGTATTAAATTGATAAGTAGTATTAGCATCTGTTAGAATAGCAAGAAAAAAAAAAAGGCAGAATGGGCCAGGAACCATTCTGGTCCCTTACTGGCTTCGCCATTGATGCAAAACCTAAACCGTTAATTTTTAAGACCCATTCAATGTTACGTACTATAGAAAAAATTGCACAGGAAAACAATAATCAGTGGAAATTTGAATTGCTGCTACATACCTTTTGTTTTCCTGTTACATTGAATCCAATCAAGCCCTTAATTAGCATTATTCTCCTATGCCAATTAGGCTAATTAAATTGATATAAAATCAAATGTTACGCTAATTAAATGCCAAATTTATTACCATTACAAGCGATAACAACTAAGCAAACAAAATTAGTAAAAGTAATTTGTTGTGAAATTTCTATCGAATTCTTCTTGCATAAGTTTTAAGATTTCAAGGACACACAAAACTGGCACACTGAAAAATAAAACACAAGGATCATACAGAAATCGAAGATGTCGATTAGGCCGCCTGGCCAAGACAATACACCGAGTTAGAAGTTTTGACCCGTAAGTATAAATTAGAGTAGTCAACGTAAAAAAACATATATCAAATCCAATATCAAAAAATGAACTGACCTGTGACAAGAGGCAGAGAAGAGACTCTACATGGTTCCTCGCGACCGAGTCGCCGACGAACGCCATTCTCTTTCCCCGAACGATTTCCAAAAACGTTTTCGGATCAAACCGCGGAAGCTCGCACTTGTCCGGTTTCCATCTCCAGTTCAGAAAATCCCTGTCCCTCCTCCCGTTTCTGAAACAATTTTTCGATTCCGGAATCGTGGCGCAGCTCGTATTCGTGTACATTGCTCCTCTAGAATCCGAAATCCACTGCCCCTTAAACAAATCACACTCCCCCTTCTCTACAAAATCCAAAAAACAAAAACCAAACTTTTCAGAAAATGATCCAGAAATTATTTATAAGAAAAAAAAAGAAAGAAGAAGAATTGGGTTTGTTTTGTTTGTAACAAGAAAGAGTTACTTGGTGGGGGGAGGAGCTTGATGGTAGTGTGATCAGGGGCTTGATGGTCTTTTTGTGCTGCATGAATGGATGCCTGGTTTGGAAGAGAATTGAGATTGTTAAGGGCCTGTTTGGGAGAAATTAAAAAAGGGTTTGGAGAATAGACTAGTAAGAAGCTGAAAATGGTGCATGTGGCTAGAAATGTGACAAAGAAAGGAGCCAATCTGCTCAGACCATCATGGCCTCTCACCCTTTTGGGATAGTTGTGGAATTTTTCTGGGAAAAAAGTACAAAGACTCATGACTGCCTCAAACAGACAGAAGAGAGATAAAGTAGAGAGAGAGAGAGAGAGAGAGAGAGTGAGTGAGAGAGAGAGAGAGAGAGGGAGAGAGAGAGGGAGAGAGAGAGGGAGAGAGAGACTACAAAGAAGAAATTATAAGGGGTAGAGAGTGCAGATTCTGCAACTCCATAATTGGGAGTAAAGGGATGGTGCCTTGCGTGAGAGAGCCTCTACTTTCCGTTCCTTTCCTTTCTTTTGAGCTAGTTATATAATACACCCTCAAGTTTAGGTCAATGTCAAAAATCACTCAACGTTTTAATGTTTGTTTCGTCAGTTTTTTACACATTGCGCCCTAAAGTATTAAAAGTTTCACAATTCAAGTTATTCTTGTGTTAAGCCAAAACCAGGCAAGAAAATAACTGGTCCACGATATAGTCCGATTGTATTTTACGAGGGAGCTCCATACGTACGACGTATCCAGTTTATGAGCACTTAGACTATAAGATAAAAGAATTACTTGAATTGTTAACGTTAACACTTCAAGTAGTAACATCAAGAAATTGAAAGGTTGTCACTTGTACAAAACAATTTTATCCAAAATGTGCACTAAGATTAACATAACTCTTCATTTTGCTTGAAATTTGAAATCGATAGAAATAATCTCTGAGTTTGTCTACCATCAATCATTTTGGTTATTCCGTGAAAAGTCTCAATTAAATACGGACCCAAATAACAAAATTACCCTTAATTCATCTTGACCAGTTGTTTATTAAATTGAGAGTATTTTTGTTATTTTGGTCCATATTTAACAAAATTTTTTACGGAATGATCAAAATGATTGATGATAGACAAACTCAGTAACTATTTCTATCGATTTCACATACCAATAACCAAACTAAAAAGTTATACCAATTTCAGAACCATTCTCGCTAAAAAGCCAACGAAAAATAATAAGGGTGTGCTTTGTAATTAGGGGCATTTAAGAAATCAGAGATGGCAGATGTGACATTGAAACACGCGGCAAGCCATGCAAATGAGTAACTGAAATGACGAGAGAGAGAGAGAGAGAGAGAGAGAGAGAGAGAGAGAGCATGCATGCATGTGAATTTACTAATTGACCAGTATACTCGGCGGAATTTAATCGACTGGCTCGGATTCTTCGGACGGAAAAATGATGAATCAGTGTTCCCTACGTGGCAAAAACCCAGTTGAGCTTTCTGAGTCCCATATGACCCTCCTCCGTATAATCCTCCTCCATAACAGCCGGTCGGAAGTTTTGAAAATTGCTGTGGTTCAAGACTGGGTCTATATCCATCCGGTGTTGTTGCATTGCATGGAATACAATGAGGTAACATCTAATCAACGGAATCATTTTTTATTCCTAACTTTTTGTTTATGAACAATGTCATTATTCTAATCTAGATCGATTAAGACGATTTGAAGAGTTTAAACTTGAGACTCGCAGAGTTGGAGAAGGTGTTATCCTCCAGAGCATCCACCATATGCATTTGTAGAGCATCTCCAACCGAATATTCAAATTCATGATGGATTGGTATGTAACACAATCTGAAGACATGTAAGAAGCTCCAACGAAGTATCCTTCTTACGTGAACATCAAAGTTGACAACAAATAAAGACGTTGTATTTTTTTTTTTTTTTTTATAAATAGTAGCAAACACCCTTGATGCCAATCCACGATAACCCAAAAGGAAATGACATGAAACTTTAATTCGACATGAAGTAAAATGGAAAGTAGATTTTGGATGGAGACTCAACGAGTCAGATATTTTATTCGGTCAACCCTTTAAGCACCCGTTAAATGATAAGTTAATTCAAGTTTACACGCAGATAACCCGTTGCAAGTTTCAATCCGTTAAACTAAAGTCCTAGCTTTCTCGATCTCTCTCTCAATTTATGTATCATGTAATTGTAGTGCTTAATAAAATAATTGTAGTTGTATTGTTCGTAATTAAGTAAACAGTACTGGTGAGTTTGAGATTGAAATTTAAAACTCATTAAAACAACAAATTTGACACGAAAGCAATACAAACATGCCAGTGTAACAAACAAATTATTATGTAAGGCCTAATAAATGACTAACTATAAAGCAAGAAAACAAGTTTTAGTCGTAGGTTGAGCCCTGAAATCATGCCGAATAATTAGCTGGTTCATTCCACCATTTAATATTTGGCACATTAGCTAATTGGTCAACGGTCTGACCCTAGGATTTTTGGGCTATGATATCACCGACATTCTACAAGTGAATCCCAAAGTTGGCATTGTCCCTCCTCCCTCCTAGAAAGGCGGAAAATAATTATCGTCTGGTCATTTTTATAGGGATTTCATAATTTTATCCGTTCATTATATATGGTGCGATCAGTTTTCATTAAGTATTATACATATTTAATTTTAAATTTTAAATTTTAAAATGATTTCTGATCACACGATATATAATGAACGGGTAAGATCACGGAATTCCTAGGATTCATAGATCCTTTTCCCTAGGCTACATGCAAAGACAAATTTATCCCTTGACAGTCCCTCCTGGCCCACTTTACTAATCTCTTGTTTTGGGCACTTGGATTCAATCGCATGTGGTGGTCCATCCGAAACCTTAACCGTTCATACGACGAGACAGAGGTGGCTCTTTTGTGCAACTAAATAAAAGCGACATGTGTTTTGTTAAATTTGTAACCCCACTCCCGGACATTGTCATATGAAACCTTCCTTGGTTCTTCAGAGACTTGTTCTTAAAAGCTACTTTACGACAAATGCGTCTGATACTGAAGGTTCCCTTACTTTTTACGAAAATTCTGATGTCCTCGGGTGTTTTTACGACGAAAATTCTACTGTACTCCGAGACTCCATCCAACGCATGAATGAATGGCACAATATCAAAGTTTTATTCGGACGACGGGCTGGAATTTAATATCTTGACGAATTTAAGTAAATCTATATATTTTATGTAAATAAGTGTCTGTTTATATTTAAAATATATATAATTTCATCATAAACTATAAAATAGAATGATATATATATTATTAAGTATTGAAACCTAATAAAAACATGTGGAAGAAGCCTATAATATATGTTCATTTAAGTATTCAACAAGTCTTTTACAATTTATTGAAAAAAAAAATTCAAAATAAAGGTTATCTATTTTATATCTAAGTGAGTTGCAACCTAGGCGGATCTGAGCAGATGCCTAGGCGGTCTAGGCGGGGCCTCAGAAGGTATGAACAACCTTTCTTAATTTTCAAATGCGTAGGCATTAATCGAGACGCTGATCAGCTGCCTAGAGCCTAGGCAGTGCTAAGTGAGGATTTTTAGAGCAGTGCTCAATGTAATAACTTTGAAAACATTTTCCGGCATACAAGTGCCGAAGAGGCAATAAGTCGATACATTTCATCACGAATCTGAATGACTTGTACAGCCCTGCGAGGCTGCAAACGGCGTGACTGCATAATGACTTGTACAAGTAGCAAAACGATCCAATTCCAAACAAGTGATTCTCCGGCGAACAGAAAAAGAAACGATGAAAAATTACGATTATATCAGAAAATGTGGTGCGCTCAGCGCTGCATACTCATAACGGAATTGAATTGTTCAACTCAGAAACAAAAGGCCAACATTGTTACAAAAATGTAGGTGGAAATAATCACTAGAATGTCCAACGATGCAGTGCAAGATAAAAAAATGAGCCAACTGCACCTCCACCGTCTACCCATAATCTTTACGATTCCGCTGAAACCAGAGCTGAAACCAGAGCTACTGAAGTCGTACGACAGTTGCCAGGATTACAATTCACAGTATAGGTAAAAGACGATAAAACAAGTAAACGAAAACCCTGTCAGCGGCATCATCGAAATTTAACAACCAAGTCAAAAGGCATAATATAAATGAATCAAATGCGGCAAAAGTGAAGTTTCTGTCCAACAATCTCTAGGTTTGCCAAAAAGATCCCGACGACTCTGGTTATAACTTATAATACAACGCGGGAAAAAGAAAAAAAAAACACAACACGGTGACAACCTGTGCAAATTTCAATAACCAGAATGTGACAATATAACAAAATTCGGCAGTCCTGACTAGGTAATAACTATATATGTAACAACTGGAGAAGGAAAAAAAATTAATGACAGAACACAAGCCGACCCTGGCCTGGCCTGGGAGGTTCATACAACCAATCTCCCCAAAGAATACAATCTGAGTAAGGATCGGGATTGCAGTGTGTACCTGAACGAGCACAAGTCCAAACATTGAGCACCAATGTCACAGCTTTAGGCAGCGTATAGAGGATGCTTTTCAAGAGTTAGATATCTACACAGAAAAACTTGTCTGCAGTGGCCATCAGAGCAGATTCAGTTAAAAGAACTGCTTCCAGGACCCCAGGGGTTTCCAAAGTTAGAGATGGTACGGACTGGTGTTCCGTGCGATGAACGCCTGCACCCGCCCTTTAGCATTTTTTACTGTTCAAGCGAACAACTTGTCAACTCCTGTAAGTTTCCAATGCAAAACACCCCCATGTGCTGCAAGAAAGAAACAAGAAAGCTTCATCAAGAAGAGAATGTTCAAGGAAATTTCACAGAAGAGTTTTGTTTGAAATCATATTACAAACCAAAAACCCAAACAAAAGCGGGTGGAAACTCAATTTCAATTTTCCTTTTATTATGATGGCAACTCAGCTTGCAAATTACAAGTTGCGGTGAAGACAAGGTCATATGCCCCGCTAGTCATTCAGGATTAGACTATAGTTTTTCATATAGAGAAATTCCGAATAAACAAATTAAGGGTTTTACCGAAAAAGTGAAACAATTCATGAAAAATAAATATTAAAAGAAACTTTTGCAGGATCAACTCCAATTCTCCAAAGCTTCGAAATTGAGAACAAATCATTAATTTAACTGATTGTAATCATAGGTAAATGGAGAAAGATATCCTTAGAGATGAATATCATCAATCCAATTTCATGACTGCAGTAGTGACCAGTGACGCAATCCAAGGGTTTCCATACTTGTCTAAGGCAATAAAGAATCTGAATACAATAATTTGTAAAGGCTACAAAAGCTCACCACACCTTGACAGGTTTGCCGCATTGTGCCATAATTCTACTGCCATGAAGGCTGCTTATAGCCAATTCGTTCAACAGCATCCAACCCACTATCAGGTTCCTTTCTCTTCAATGCACCTCCCACCTGAAACAACTTTAACTGTTCCTCTACCGGGGCTTGTGAACTGGGAACAGAAAGCTGTCTCATTCCTGAAGGCAACCTTTCAGCTCTCCGTTCTGTTTCTGTAGCTCCAGGCCCAGCATTAAGGTCAAGACCATGACTACCCCATTTCCTACCATCAAGGCCAACATTACTGCTACCACCAGGAAGGCTCATCATATAGGGTCGAGGGTAAGAGGATGAAACTACGCCACCCGGTCCCACCATCTGGGAGGGCATGCTGGGGAAGCAAAGTGCTCCGCCAGATGATGAATCTATATATGCAGTAGAACCAGAAAAGGAGCTCGATGACAGAGAAAAACTGGTTTCAAAAGGAAACCCTGGATATTGAAATGTAGTAGCAGGAGGAAATGGCACTGCAGTTGAGGCATTACCAGTGGGAGGACACACAATTCTCTGAGACCCAGCAGGAGCACCATAACTCTGCTCACCTCTGCCAGGAAACATGGGAGGGACTGTGATGGCAGAATATGAGTTTCCTTGAGGAAACCATGCCGATAAGTTCCCAAAATCAGGACTGTTTATTCTTAAATTAGAAGCAGGAGTACTAAGCAGCATGCTAGTTTTTAAATGCTGGGCGCACGGAGCTGTGTCAGTGCCCACTTCATCAAGGCCTGGCCCATTGTTTAAATCAAAGTCTGTAGAGTCGTTGACCCCACCATTAGATAGTCCACCAGATACTGATGACCTACTTGGCAAGGGAGGTATATCCAACCTGCAACTGTTGCTTACAAGCAGCCCAACATCAGGACTCTCATCCACTCTATTCAAATCAAGATCTAGCCCTCCCGAGCCCCGATCATGAGTATCTGACTTGAAACCCATTACATGAGCAGAGTTTTGGACAACTTCCTCATAAACTCTCTGATCAGGCACATTCAAGTCAAAGTCCAATGGAGGGCGGACTTGTTTGCTGGAAGCAGTATCAACAATAGGTGCATCCGTTGCATTGACTGATGCTTCCACATTCCTTCGGGGTTCTGCAGGTCGGAATGCGCTGGTAGTTGAAGATCCTTTCCATCCAAGTTCACCCGTACTCCGCATCAGGTTTTCAGGAGGTACAAATGAACCTTTGGCAGGCGCAACTACAGTAATTGATGCAGGGAAGCTCCCTGACACAGAAGACATTTGAAAAGGTAAAGGGCAAGGAAAATGAACAGAGGACGAAGTTCCAGGATCTCCTGCTTTAACAAACTCTGGTTGGCTCCCATCATCAACAGGAAAGCCCTCATTCAAATCAAAGTCCAACTTTACAGCAGTATCTGACCCCAAGGAATTCACACATGAAACTTGCCGTTCCTCTGTCTTCCCTGATTCAATAACTTCTGGCTTACACTTACTAGACTTGTCATGCTGCTCATTTTCTTTAACAGGCATTGACGGTGACTCTGCCTTGGAAACCTGTAGATCGGAACAGTCAACAAAAGCCTCATTTCCTTCTGTAGCATCCCGAGCAAAATCTCTGCTGTCCTCCGGATCTGGCACATAAATATCCCGTGTCTCTTTCCCTGTTTGTGTAGTGTGACCGGCAGCCTTAATGTCATCTGTCTGTTCACCCTTAGACTCCACATGTAAAGTGTTTCCAGAGCCCGAACAAAGAACAGCTTCCTCACTCTTCCCCTCTTTGGACTCTGAGTGATTTCCTGCTACAACGGATGGTTTCTGCTCTGTCAGTAGAGCACTATTTGAATCCTTTTTGACATCATGGTTCTCACCAGCCACTTGAGAGGATGAGCAAGTAGATATTCCAATGTCCTGTTCAACTTTTACACTCCCAGAGGCTGCTTCAGATACAACTGGTGTACTGCTCCCGACAGTTCTTTCATCTGCACAAAGAACAGACAAATCTTCGTCAGAAAAGGAAGACAACAATTTTATTTTAGAGTCAGAAAGGTTGCGCCTGTTACCATTTGGAGTCCTCAATTTTCCTTGTTCATGAGACTGGTTAGATCCTTCAGCCTCCAAATGACCCTCTTTTCTAGCACATGAAGGTGGCTCCGATGCTGAAGCATCACATGACTCACCAGGATTGACATCAGCCCTCAAGAACTGACCATCGCTACTTTGTTGCTTATTTGAGGAACAATTCAAATTTGCATTACACTCTGCTGGTTTATCCCTGCCCCCATATGAAGCAACTATAACATCAAAACCATTAGTTGGCAGGTGGGTAAGAGAGTGTCTTGCTTCACTCTTACATCGCAATGAGTCAAGAGCACTGTCCAGCTTGGTTGCACCACTATTGACCCCTCCATTAGGTTGACATTGGATGTCAGCAGTTTCTTTGCCCAGTGGTTTCAACTTAGCATCATTTTCTGAGAATGATTCCTCGTGCACAGGAGAATTCCTCCCAGGAGAACCTGATGGTGACACATTCTCAGATTTGGACATTTCTCCAGCAGCCACACTAGCTAGCAAATTCATCCCAACATCATCACTAGGTGAAGCAGTACCGCTACCCTCAGAAAACTTCACACAGCTTTCAATTAAAGCATTCATGGAGCTTAACGATGCTTCATACGATTTTCCTGTCCTTGAAATGAGTTTTGACGAGGAACCAGTTGCCTTTGATGCTTCTGTTCGTTTTTCACCATCTTCACCAGCCCTATTTTGTTCGCTGCCTAAAGGTAGCACATTGCCATCTTCAGAACCCGACAATCCCTCTTTGCTGTGAAATGCATCTGAGTTCACATCTGATATTCTATTACCATGCAAGGCATCGCTTCTGTGCTTATATTTTTGGTCATGGTTGTCATGCTTTTCTGCAGGAGGAGACGCTGTGTTAACAGGATCTTCAAAAGAACATCCTGAGGCACCTCGAGCAGGACTGCGACCAGTGTTTGGCAATCTGACAATCAGTCGGTTATTTCCATGGTCAATCATGGGCGCTTCAGGATGCTTCTCATAGGATACTCCAACTGTTGAAGCCTTTTCAGAAGTCAAACTTCTACTAAGGGTACACGCTTTTCCTGGCCCTGTTTCCTTCTTAACTCCTGAGGCAGGAGACCCATGAACGCCATTGCTTGATTTCCGATGGCGAGAACCACTGGCAGAAATTTTGCTCGCACTAACTGAACCGGCAGATGAGCTCCTTGCATCTTCCCTATATAAAGAACCCACATTCCTCGCATGATCACTTGACTGGCTGTTGTTCTGAGACTGGCTAGAACTGCTGCTCCTTTCCTCCTTAATTGGTGTCAATGGAAGATCTGAAGTTCCAGCACCTAACGTTCTAAAATTCTGATCCTTTGAGAGATTTCCAGATGATATACTCAACAATTTCGTTGACCCAGGTGAACCAGAAGATTTTGAAACTGTTTCTCCAGAGCCAAGTTTAATCTGAGGAGTTTTCGACACAGAAGGTTGCATAGTAGAGCTTTTTGAGCCAACCTCAGAGGAACTTCCAGTCTTTCTGCTCCCAGCTTGAGAAACTTCTGAAGATGCATGCTTCGTAGGCCACGAAACACCACCACGACTAGATCCAGTCTTTGTCTCATTCAAATTCATCTCAGCTTCAACACGTTTCTTCCACATATCAACTAAACTCTTAGCTTTCTTCTGGATTTCAGAGTTTCTGTAACTACGTAAATTATTCACAGACTTGCCGACATAACAAGACTGCAGCGCATGAAGATTCACAGGAACCTTCTCCAGTGCACGAAGCAAAGCAAAAAGAAATTCATCAACAGATTTATCACTTTCTTTTGGGCTACTACCATCACCAAGTTTTCCCTTGTGAACTTCTTGGAGCCATTCATCCAATACACACAAACCCTTGCATTGTATAAATTGCCCAAGGCAATCCAACCTATCAGTAACTGCGATCACATCAACAAGCATTGTTCGGCCAGCCAAATCTATTTTCTTGTCAGCACTTTCAGCTTCCATAAGTTGGACAAACTTCTCAACGCCGTCTATGTCTAGTAGACCTCCTTTGTCCGTTATTTTTTCAAGCTCAGACTTTAGCATATTTTCAGGTCTGGACTGACCAGACTCTCCATCCTCTATTTTAACTAAACGTTCTCGTTTGGCAGGTTCGGAGCCCTGATCTCCTCGTTCCCTCTTTTTTCCTTTAACCTGTGAAGAAAAGGGGGATGTGCTATTCTGTAAACTATCTGAACCAGATTTTATCTGTGGTGTTGATGACGAAGTATTCAAGGGTTTCGGAGAACGACCTCCCGACTGCACTGCCCCATGCATTTCTAGTTTTGTCTTGTCTAATAGCTGATCTACTTCTTCCTGTCGTTCCTGTGGTAAAATGAATAATCACTACAAATCTAATAATCATGAGCATACAAATGTGAGACAATGAATAAATTTAAATAGTCAAAACTCACATTAATATAGTCTTTGTCAGTTAACCACCATAAACAATTGTTCTCAGTATCATACACTCGTCTGCACACAAATGAGGATATCCCTGGAGGAAGTTCAACACCTTTACGAAGGAATGCAACTTTACATGGATGGAGTAACGATGCAGCAGGTATCTCATCCTTGTGAAAGGAGTAAAAGACCTCGTTCGGGGCAGCTTCTAGCGAGACCCCTTTGGAAAGCTTTACATCAGCAGGTCGATAAAGCCAACTTACACCTAAACATAGACGTTCCTCCTTGTCTAATATTAGCCTACGAATTACTCCAATAAAAGGTAGGGAATCCTGGGGTGGCTTGAAAAGTGCACAGTCACCGACACAAATTTTGCGACCATCCTATACAACAAGGGAAAGATTTCATCAAGCTTAAGAAATATGAAGTAAAGTTTGACTGTATTTAGATATAATAGAAATCATACAGAACTATGGACAGGCAAGAGAGCGTGAACATGTATTCAGCAAACAGCACTAGAAAACATATATTCAGCAATATGGAAGCATCAGGACTAATAGAAATGAAGGTCAATTCCAAACAAAAAATATAACTAACTCTCAAACAATGATAAATTTTAACACAAAGGGAAGGTGTTGAAATATGAAGTAAAGTTTGACTGTATTTAGATACAATAGAAATCGTACAGAACTATGGATAGGCAAGAGAGGGTGAACATGTATTCAGCAGATAGCACTAGAAAACATGTATTCAGCAATATGGAAGCATCAGGACTAATAGAAATGAAGGTCTCCAAACAAAAAACATAGATGACTCTCAAACAAACGATAAATTTCACCACACAGGGAAGGTGCTTAAATCATTACTCCCAATCGGGTAAAATATAACTAAGTTTCCATAAAGCTTTTTTACCAAACTGAAACCAAGCTAATTCTAAAGAACAGACAATCTGAAACTAACAGGAAACTTACATGAGAAAATATAATTCCAAATCAAAATACTCAAGAGACTTGCTCACAATCAATTACATTCTTTGAGAATCAAAGAGAGAGAAAAACAGAGCCACAAAGAAAAATCACGCTTTCTTTGTCAATTAAGCGTATCATGTTCAAGAACAAGATTTCAATCTACGCAAGCACAAACGAACACGGAATCGGACAGGAAGTAGTAAACAAAATTCAAACCCAACAAATTCAACTATGAGATGAACAGGACAGACATATGAAGTCCCTGTGATAGAGGAATACGTGAAATTCACCATCTACACATATAAATGGTATAATTTAACCGTATAAAAAAGTTTGTTTCTTCCTATCAAAAAAGAACCAGATAATCGAAAGATGGAAAACCAAAAAGAAAATGAATACCCAATACCCAATTGGAGGGCAAATTAACCCAGTAAAATCAACACCCACGAAAATTCAAGAAACCGAAAGAGGAATTTCACCAAAGGAACGGTATAACAAAATCCAAAACGACGATAATTACATAATCACCGCAACAAAAGCACAATAAAAATCTCATGGTAATCGAAAACCAGCAGAAATTGACCAAAAAAATACCAAAAACGAAACAAAATCGCTCGGGGAAAGTGAAAAAAATATACTTTGCAGAAGGAATCGGATGCGGTAGAGAGGTCGGAAGCTACAGTCGTGGCGTTGGAATAAGGGACAGGCCACATGTGCCGACGCCGTTTCGACTTCTCAGCTGGCGACCCATGTATAGCCCTCCATCTCGGTTTTCAATTCGCGAGCAATCGATCCCACAATCGTCCGCCTTGAGATGAAACATCAATCCGGAGTCGAATTCAACAGCAGGAACCCTAGATTCGCGAAAATCGAACGGGGGGACAAAACCCTAGATCAAGCCCTGGATCTTCGATTGGATGAGGGTCAAAACGATTCGGGAAGTCTAGGGCTTCGGTGGTGGGGATTCAACCATGGGTCGGGTCAGAGAGATTTGGGGGATTTGGGATCGAGAAGGAAGGAAGGTAATTCAATTGGCGAAATACAGAGAGAGATTTCGGGCGAGGAGCTCGCGATGAGAGAGAGAGAGAGAGAGAGAGAGAGAGAGAGAGGGAGAGATTTGGACGTTGGTGCGCAAGACGAAACGGAGGAAGCAGGTGTGAGGAGAAAAGAAGGGGAAATGGTTTGGGGCTAAGAAATTGCCAGTGTTGCCAAGGTAATGCTTGATGGAGACAGGAACGACGACGTCGTTTGTGGGATTTGCACAAGTTTTTTTTTTTTTTCCGGAATTTTATTAAAAAATGATAATGGATGGCAAGCCACGGTTAACCGTTCATTTTGAGAGCTGGAAAGACTCACAAAGGTATTTTAGTCTTCCTCTAGCCACAGTCATGCAGACTCATCAAGTTAGAATCTCAAACCCGAGACCTCCCTGTTTTGTGTATTTTGGAAGCCAGAATTCACGTTTTTACCACTAGGCCACTTGTTGTGGTATGTGATAATTCGAATAATGTCTTTTTAATGTTTCTAGCACTATTTTATTATATTAATGAAGTTCATAAATAGTAGTTTATTGTATTGATCAAGTACATAAATATGAATTAGTAACATTTTATATTCAGAGCCTTCTGTTGAACCCATATGATGTATCACCCAACTAACACAATTTGTTCACCAAACTTCCAAAATTACCCTTATATAAATGAAAACAGAAAACCAACATTTGTGTTTGCCACCAATATTTTTTTTGATAAACGATATTTTCTACGTTAAATGGGATGGACTTAGTATCACAATGGACTAATAATAATGTAGTTCAAATTCGTCTTTAGTGAGAATCAAACTTAAAACCTCTTATGTACAAGTGAAGAGAAATATTACTGGACAGAAGAACAAAGTGGCTTTACAACCAATATTTATACCCAAAGATTAGTGGTTATCTTTACACCCACAACCCAGAGCCCCCTATGAAACAATCACACTCCATTTATTTTTGGTTTAGTGGTATTCCTCTTTATTTATAAGTGATAGGTCTTAGGTTCGATTCTCGTCAAAGGCAAATTTGAACCACATATTACTAGCCAAATGTGAGGCTAAGCCAACCCTTCCCCCTTAGACCAACTCCAATGGTGGGCTAAAAGCCAAATTACCCCCCAAAATTTCCCCCCAAACCCACTCCAACCCAAGGGAAAATTTTGAGCTAAATGCTAAATGCTAAACCAATGCCAAATTCCCCCCGAAATTTAGCCCAGAAATCGGGGTGGACTCTACCCAATATTTATCGAAATTTAAATTTTTTTAGATTAAAATGTTCATAAAATTAATTTACGATAGTCTACATATTTATTTTTTTTTAAAAATTTAATTTAACAAAAAAAAAATAGCCTAAGTTCATTCTTTAATAATCCCGGACTAAAATCTTAGGGTAGAACGGTTGGAGTAGAAAAGCTGTTTTTGGGCTAAAAAATTTGACTTTTAGCCCAACCATTGGAGATGGTCTTAGTGTAGATAATATCGTTTGTTAAAGAAAAAATAATTTTTTATTCAACCCGTGTTATTTTGTAAAATGAGATAAAAAAATAATAGTTAATTTTTACTAAAAATAATTATAAGCTTGTCACAATGCCTTGTGAAATACTAGGTAAGTACATAAAACTAGGGACCGAAAAAAGAGCAACAAGCACAAAATATTATGTAAGGAATGTAACAAAACTTAAGTTTATTGTGTCGTAAAAGAACACCAAGTTACTTTAATTTAGGGGTATGATATCTACACACCTTTTTTTACTTCTCACATACTCTTCTAATTTTTGGCCGTCGGATCAGATGAAATGAAGAAGATCAACGGACATAAATTAACAAGAGGTGTGTGAGAAATAAAAAAATGTGTGTGGATAGCACATCCCTTGATTTAAGTGCACTTTTACGAGGTTTGTTTTTTTAATTGAACAATGTTTTGATCAGGTACATTGAGTGTTATAATACAATTAGTTGAGTTTTTTTATCTCAAGTTTTCAAAAAATATATTATTACACTTTGTGTATCAGGTCATGTTTTCTGCACACTAAATATATTTCCCTCAATTGTAAAATAGTCGGCAAATGGGAGGCATTCTAACTAATGCTATTAATGAATATTGAGTTTCTTATGCACTTGGAACTAGAGTTGTGGTTCTGCTTTACAAAATGGACGGGAGAAAATAAAGAGTTTGTAGTTCAGTTGATTAAGTTCACTTGAAGTCCCAAATTCTGTTATCTTCCTCTTAATATCGATTATATTGAGAAATGAGAAGTGGAAGAAAGAAGGATGTCATTCAACGTCCTTAATTAATTTTTGAGAAATTATATACATGCCTTTTAGACCATGCTAAGTTCATCAAGATTTCATTTAAATTATGAATATACACATAATTATTTAACACAGTGACCAAGCTTCATTTGAGCAAAAAGAGATGTTGACTAATTATCGGTCAGACATTACTTATCATTTCAACTCAGAAAAAAATAACGTTAAAAAGTAATATGGAGCCTTTTAAAGTCTCACACATGTATTTACTAAAACATGACGCTCTTTATAAACAACGTGTGATCGACTTAAAATACTTGATATTGTAACGTTCTTTTTGCATTGAAGTTTTTATGGAGTCTGACAATATGATTCACCATCTTCCAACCCTAGGAGTGACATGCCCACAAGAAGTTAAGCGGAAGACAAAACATGCAACTTGTTCCTGTACAGCCCAGCAGATGGTGATTGACATCACAAATCATGATCATCATGCAATCCAAGCCGTAGATCCAATAAAAGCTCTCTTACTTTTGAGACTTCTTATCCTTGATTGGTTGGGTCACCCTCAACCAAACTTTACAAAGAATAACACCATACCAGAGTTCACCCCCCACACGGCTTGTCGTTTTCAACCCCATCCAGTGATGCGGATTAGAGTTTGCTTGTTGCATGTACTTAAGCTGTTTTCATAAACCCAAATTCCAGGAAGATGATACTCTCCGGATTTATTTTGTGAGGATTCTAGAGATTTTGATATCCTAATCGTTTATCGTATATCGTGCGGTTAGTTTTTGTCAGGTATTATTTGTGTTTGATTTTAAATATTAAAAAATCAAATAATTTATGACCGCACGATGCACGATGAATGACTAAGATGTGATGATCCCTACAATTTGGATCAGGATGGGATCCAAATCCCTAATTCCAAACCAATTAAAAAAATTCCCATATATTTTGGGGTTTGCTAACACCACACTCTTTTTTATTTATCACAATTTCTGACTTTCTAATTAGATGAATTGAAGAAGATCAAATGACATAAATTAACAAAAAACATCTAAAAAGTAAAAATAAGTGTGTAAACAATAATACTCTATATATTAGTCGTCTTCTGGCTCTGATGGTGAAAGAAAACGACTAATTTGTTTTCTGGTATTTCTCGGATTTATTTTTTCAAAAAGGGTTTTAAAAAAGGATCTTTGAAAGCAACGTTTCGGAAAACAAACCAAACATTACATTTGATTTGATTTTGACTGGGAAAAATGATTGTATTTTGCTGAAAGTTCAACAAACTTTTGCAAAGTGGGGAAAAAGAAATAAATATGTTTTTGGAATGGTAGTTGATTGATTAATTTGATTCAAGTTAGAAGGATAATTTTTGGAAATGGACAACAAGCATTTGGTCTTGGGGACCGATTAGGCCACATGTGGCCTATCTGTTTTTGAATGCGATTGCCACCCATCTAAATCACAAATCTCCCAAATCAACTAAGTTCAGGAAACAATCAAGTGTGTTAAATGTAGACGGATTTGGCCACATTTATATCATCTTGTTCGTTATGATAGTCTAATCACGTGATCAGTAAAATTACTCTCACAAAAGAGTAGGTCTTCATGTATTTTGGTACAATCCGGCCAATCCACCCCATGTAGGTATAATCACTTATGCACACGGTGTCACTTTTTGTGAATGTGCATAACTAGATGCGCGATTAAGCTATCTTATTAGCAATCTAATTTCGTGACTACTAAGGCCACTCTCACACAAGAGTAGGTCGCCTATGAATTATAGTCCGACCTCATGTGCACGAGGTCAGACATCTTGTGAGAGTATTTGACCAGCTACATACTTAATTGTTACAATTCTTGTGACTTGTGAGAAACATAATCAATCGAGGTGATTCATCTCATCTGCCCATTTCTCTAACACTCTGCTGCATGCATGTTTTAGAGGTTTTAGAGTAACCCTAAGGCCGTCTAGTTTAAATACTAAATACAGATATTTGTTTCCGGCTTGACAATGTCGTTGGCCTACAAACCTAGTGTTAAGACTTTACTTTATACCTAACTTTCTTAATCTGTTGATGTTCATCTTACATACAACTAAGTCCTAACCCATAAATATACAGGACAAGGCCGAAATGTTTAAATGTTCTAATTTTTGGAGGCCGGCTTTGAAATGTTTTATTTCTTTCAGGAATTTGTGGTCCAGTAAGATTTGATTCATAGTTGGCACTTGGCAGCAAGGTCATCGTAATTTTTCAATGCTTCAAATGTAAATAATCAAAATTCATGCAAAACGTATAGAATAATGTTTGACCGTTGAAAGAAGAGTTTTGCTGAAAATTCAATTAAAAATGAACACGTGTGCATTTGTTTGGAGTGATGTTAGTTTAAGTTTTCAATTCCTTAAGTGTTTGGTCACGTATCCATTTTTAATTGAATACTTTTTTTATTTTAACAGGACTTGCTGCTCTTCCTTCAACGGTCAATCATCATTCGAATGGGTATTGACATGATAAAAACAAAGTTTGTATTAGAATGTGGTCCAATAGTTGCTTTTAGGTTACCTAATGTTTCAGTGGCGTCATTTTGCCAATAAATATTTGGTATGCAATCAAAATAGGAACCACATGTTCAATAAAAAGACTTATCGTGTGGTGAATTAATGACAAAACAAAATCTAATCTATACTGATATGCGAAGTTGCATTAGAGAAACTTACTTAATCAATTATGATATACTTATTTCTCTTTATCTTTCTATCCACACTTTTCTATCTTTACGTCTCTTTCTCTTCTCACATCTTTCTATCATGCTGGTAGAAAAAAAAAACGATACATAATCATTCACCAACCGATGGAGAGACATAAATAATTAAGTTGAAA